TGTGCATGTGTGCGACACGCGCACTGAATGTCATCTCGAAGCCATTGATTTTCCACAATGCGAGCCCGCGTGCTGTCTGCGGGACAGCTTATTGAATTTTCAACAATTGCGATATGTATAGCGCCCGTGGAAGATGCATGCGACGGACGGCGGCGCGCAACGAGAAGTCATCGGGCTGGCTGTCGTTATTCAAGTAGATTTGAGTAGAAAACACGCCCACACACACATACACACACACACACACACATATACATATATGACAGACTCACTGAGTTGTTCAAAAAGCGCAATGGTAAACAGAGTTATATGGCGTGTACCGTATCGCGTATTTCTTAATAAATTTGGAGCGATGCCAATTCAAATAATTCAACATTTCCTAATGTGTTCTTAAGTATACAATTTCCATATCTATTGAAATCTGTCTAACTTTATTTTCAAGTAGTAATCAATTTTTATCTGTCTTACTATGAAAAAAACTATATAATAATCTTTTAGATATTTTTTTGATTATTATGGAAAATAAGTTTCTATATAATTTTATTGTCTCAATAGAGAAAACAAAGATGCAACTACAATAATATATATTTCTGTTAATACAGATCAGTAACTTTAGGGTCGATTTAACTTGCTTTGTAGTTCTAAAAATTAAAAAAAAAATAGAGAGTAAAATAAACCAAGATTAAAGTTAATTTACAGTGGTAGAAATGAACGTAAGTCGCGTAAAGTCGAACTTCTCGATCGGAGTCGAATTTAATGCGCGAGGCACGAGGCGTCGAGTGAAGTGTAAAATTTCGCGAAGCACGTGAGCATTCAATCGCGCGATACAGACCGCGATACGCGACTAGAGAAGTCATTGCGCCTGTCGTTACTCCGCACGGGTTCAAGTATAGCACGTGACGACACTCGCTCTGATCATCGAGGCGCGTTCAAAAGCGCGACGTGACAACTCGCGTTTCTGGCTGACGGCGGATGCTTCTTGGCACGGCGAAATAAACGCGAGGCTAATGGCAAGATCTGAACGTGTCTCGACGGCTGCGATGATTGTCAGCAATGCAGTGCGGAGATTCCGAGTAGTGTTCCGCTGCGTTTCTTTTTTTACATCTTTTCAAATACATTAATCCTTAACTACAATTATGAAAACTACGCCTGCATTGTTAAAAATTTCATGAAATTTAATATATTTTTAAGTTACACAATTTAAACTAAATTTCATGACATTACATTAAATTTAATGTATTTATAATTGAAAAATACTGTTAGAAATGTAACCACGAGCTTCCTTTACATGTAAATATTATGAATGAAATTAAAAGTAATGAATGATTTAAAATGATGAAAATTAAGTTACAATAGTTACTTAAATGTAATAAACGTGTACATTAAATTTATGAAATTTAATGTACATTTCATAAAATTTTATAAAAAGTACATTAAATTTTATAAATTTTTGTGAAAAATACATCAAATTTCATGTACATGTACACAAATATTTCAGTTATAATACGTTAAATTTATTGTAATGTCATGAAATTAGGTTCAAATTGTGCAACTTAAAAGTATATTAAATTTCATAAAATTTTTAACAGTATGTATTTGTATATATGTACATGAAATTTAATATACACATTCATTACATTTAAGTAACTACTGTAATTTAATTTTCAGTTAAATCATTCGTTATTTTTTCGTTCATAACCTGCACGAGCTTCATTTACTTGTAAAGAAAGCTCGTGGTTACATTTCTAATTAGTGTAAGTTCTACAGTGTTCTACTTGAAGTACATAGCGAGAAAAATGAATAATCTTACAAATCTAATAAAAATATTGTGATTGTTTTTGCCGAACTTATGACAAACTTTACTTGCCTCAAAAACAATATCGGAGGTGTAAAAAAAGCATTACGGATTCAAATGACTCGTTGCTGTAATCGAGGGTTAAAGCAGGAGTACAGACCTTTCTCTAAATTCTTTGGAGTATAGAATCTTACTCTAAAGAATGAAAATTCTGTCACTCTTGAAAAAGAGTAGCAAAATTTTCAATGTTTCACTCTTTACATAGAGTGAGGTGCCACTCCAAAGAATTTAAAGAATACACGAATAACAGATCAGATGCCATTCGCACCTCTTGCCCTCCGCGGATCGCCGCTACAATTTCGTGACCACTGGCCGATCGTTCCGTCGTTAAATTTAGTCGCGGGATTATTTCGAGATTACTTCCGCGTGAACGTGCCATGATCAAAAAGAGAAAGAGAGCGAGACAGAGAGAGAGAGAGAGAGAGAGAGAGAGAGAGAGAGAGAGAGAGAGAGAGAAAGGGTTCACCGTCTCTCGCGTTAAGCTAGCCGCGCACGGCCCGTCGACCCAGGCAAGGCCACCGTACAGCTGAAGCCGTCGTTTATCGATCTCTCGCGATGCCGCCGAGGGCGGTCACCGCCGTCGCCACCACCGCCGCCACCACCACCGCGGTATCACCACCGCCAACACCCCCGCTACCACCGCTTCCGTCGCCGTCGAAATACAGCTTTCGCGCGATCATTCGCGAAGGTCGCGAAAACGCCTCCCGAAGGACGACCGGGATGCACTCTCGCTCTCCCGGCCGCCGCCGCCGCTGCAATCGACTGCGGCGTGTAAACAACCGCCGACGGCTGCGGTGCAGCGGTGCAGGGAAACCCATTGGCACACTGCACTGCACTGTGGCGACTGGGCGCGCTTATCGATCGTTACGACGACGCCTCGTGCCTCCGATAATCGTAACGCGTCGGACGCGAGGCGGTAACCCTTTAAACACGGATTGACTTGCGCCCGAGAAGAACTGCAAGGGCGACGTCCAGGGTTGTCTTACAAATTCTTACGATTCTGCAACTTTTTCCTGATTTTCAGATGAAATTTCATCATTTTCCCTGGCTTTCGATAATTTTGAACTTTTTTATATTTTCGTTCTCACTCGGAAATCGTTATTTTATTGGGGATCAATTTAACATAGCAATATAAATTACTAAAATGCGTGTGATGTACGTATTATATTAAACTAATTTAAAGAGCCAAGTATTTTGATCGTCCAGAAAATTTTGCAAAATTCCCTGACTTTTCCTTAAAATTCCTGACAATTTTCTGATTTCCTTAATTTCCAGTTTTATAGCGACACTGGCTATGCGATATATACGATGTGGAGAAAAGAGCTAAGCTTGAAGAGAAAAAGAGACAAGTTTGATTTATGAGAACGATATGAACAGCAACGAAAGATTTCTCTCTTTGATTAAATCTAATTAATGAAAATAAATAGAACTGTTTTTTTTCACTCGACTTCGTTACATATCCGTCTTTATTGTAACTTTGAACAACTAATATTTCAAGGAAAATTTTTACTAATATTTCAAGAAATAAATTATCTGCAACAGTTAACTAAAAGTTTTTAAAAATTGGTTTATTGTATTAGTGTTAAAATATAATTTATATACTGAAGAAGAAAACTGAGGACCAAAACATTCGTGAATCTTAATTGAATAAAACAAAATTAATGTACACTTAAACATCTAATACTGGATCTCATAAGCATTGCACTTTATTGATTTATTTTCCTTAGACCCTGAATGTCATTCTCTTTTAAAAAATTTCTAATTAAACTTAAAAAGATTTTCGTTAATTGACCGATCGTTTCTTGATTCTAAACTTGGCAAAAAAGGAAAAGCAACTGTGATGAGAAATATATAAAGAAATGAAATGTCAAACGTGTGAAATAAAGAAGATAATATTTCGAGAAATAAGTTACTTGCAACAGTTAATTACCAAGTTCTTAAAAATTTCTAATTAAACCTGAAAAGATCTTTTCCCTGACCGATCATTTCTTGAATTTCTCATCTTGACATTCACAGAATCCTGACTTATAAAATCATAATAATCACAACAACGACAGAATGATGGAAAAACTTAATTTATCCGAATTTAAAACCACCGACGAAATTACAGCGAGAGAGCTGCATATTCCATGCACAGAACGCCCTGCCAAGTTTAGTATCAAGAATTTACTTGCCGTGTCACACAGCGAAGTTCTCTGGCGTGCAGCAGCAACAGAAGGGTTAACCAACTTAACGAAGCCTTCGCCTTGCGGCGTGCATACGCGCTGTGTCGTCAGCGACGAAAATAAGCAATACGAAACGTGCAACGTCCGAGCGAACGAGGAGTTCGTGGGCAGCCAGCGCGAAGATTTGGCAGCGTAAGAAGCCAAAGCGACGCGCGGAGTCCGCGCGAGTTTTGAAGCCAATCTCCGCTCGCCTCGCCTCGCCTCGCCTCGCCCATGCCACGTCCCGCCACGCTCGCGCGCGGAGCAACAACAAATCGCGTTCGCTGCACCGAGAGAAAGAGAGCGAGTTAGCAGCTCCTAGAGGTCTTCTCGAATTTCGAGAAACGCGGGCGAACGTATAAATGCCCTTCCTGAAGGTTTTTCCCGTTGGCAGTGGCGACGGGGCGGTTTCTACACCATTGCGCTTTTTCCATACGTATTACACACAAGCACGCATCCACTTCGCCCTCCAATCTTGAGCCAGAGACACCTGAGACCCCCGATGAGAATTCCGTCACGCGAAACCGATCGTCGATCCCGAGGAATGGTCGGCGCGTTTCTTCCTTCCCCGACGCCGCGCACGAGAACGCGGAAAGTAAACGTTACGCACTGGCCGATGCACTCGGAGGAGAGCACGAGGGAATAGAGAGAAAGAGAGAGAGAGAGAGAGAGAGGAGATGAGAATTCGTGACGCACCGGACGCGCGACCCGGTCACCAGTGCGAGAGCGAAGGCTCCGAGTGAAAGAGAAGAAGAAAGAGGCACAGTGAAGGAATGGGTGAACGAGGAGAAAGGTAAGAATGAGAGGGGAAAGAGGGAGAGAAAGAGAGAGGTGAAAGTAAACCGCAGTTACATACGGTATATCGGAGAGAGAAAGAAAACGAGAGAGAGAGAGAGAGAGAGAGAGAGAGAGAGAGAGAGAGAGAGAGAAGAGAGCGATGATACCTTTCGCGCGTACCCGAGCGACCCGATTCACCGACTGACTGACTCAATGACTGACTGACTGACTGACTGACTCGGAGATGCACGGCGCTAAAGGCGACTGAGTGCCAGCCGGCCGGTCTGGCTCTCGTTGCATGTGAGCGTGCAGTCTCGGGACGAGAGGGGGAGAGACTGGGACGGGCGGAGAGTGGCCAGGAGAGCGGAGGGGCGAGACGAGGACGAGAGGACGCGAGGAGGAGTCGGCGAACGAGGCGAGCCGACGAGGAGGGGAGCGAAAAGAGGGGTCAGGGGAGGATGAAGTGCAACAAAGTCCCGCCCGGCGGCTAACGCTCCGCTTCTTCCACTTGCACTTTTGTTGCGCGCTACGAGAGAGGACGAGGGAGAGAACGCGAGAGAGAGAAGACGCGAATGAACGAACGACGTTCCGGTCGATCGTTTCTCTCGGACGGCCTCGGCAGCTGCGGGATTCTTTATCGATAATTATAATGCGAGAGCATCTCGCGGTTCTCCGATATCGCGGAAGCTGATTCCGATGAGCGGCCGCGATTGCGATCGAACGAAATTCCAGCCGACAGATGAGAGAAGGTGGAGATGAACGAGGCTTTTATTTTTGCGAACAGTTTAAAGGAAATTAAAATGTTCGATAATGGAGAATATGGAGTATATGGAGTATTGTAATTTTATACGAAGGCACGCACGTAAATTTTACAGTGGGGTTGTACAAGGAGTCGTGCGAGGTGTAATTCCTGTAAGAGGCGGATATTCCATTCTTTTCGGTAACCGCAAGGCAATTTCGAGAGTATCGAAAGACGGAACTGTCGGGTTCCTTTCACTATCGCGTGTGTGTGCACGCGACTCATTAGACACCGCGATGATTATTATCGGCAAACGACAGACGGTCTTAATGACTTATTGAACACGACTCGCGTCTACGGAGAGACCCAGCTGACGATTGCGGTGATAAAAAAGAAAAAAAATCACAGCCGCCGCGACGGAATCCGCAGCGAGACTCAAGCAAAGTGCCCCCTCCCCACCCCCCTCTCACCCTCTCTCTTTTCTACCGAGAATCTACGGTGGATTTACGAGCCAAGTCATTCGTTCGCCGCAACTCGCCGGCCGTCGCGAATCGATGAAAACGTGCACCACAACGACGACGACGACGACGTGACGGCGTCGACGATGATGGAAATACAAACTCGTCGCTCGAGGTCTCGCCAAGTGAGTCTCTCGGATGCCGCGGCGAAGGACGGAGAGGAATGAAAGAATCCGATGGAACGAAAAGGCAGAGGAAGACAGAAAGAGAGATAGTGAAAGATAAAGATTACCAGAGGACGGCGGGAAAGAGAAAGGGTCGGACGAAGCGAGCGGAAAGAAGCCGCCCGATAGAGCTTGTGCCGCCACTGCGAAGCTTAGGAGTCAAGTTCTAGTGCACGGCCGAAACGGGAGAGTCGACCGCTTCCCCTCTCTCGGCTCTGCCCGCCCCACACCGAGCTAACTCAGTCGGGGGGTCCGGGAGTGGAGGAAGCGGCGTCCGAGAGGTGGTGGGAAACACGGGGAAATAAACGGGGGTAGGGAAGGTGGACGGACGGACGGACGGACGGACGGACGGGGGAGTCTGTGCGCGTTGCACGGCGCACTCTGCAATGTCGAGCGTGCGCGAGCCACCGCGAGGGCCCTCCTCTCTCCTGCATGGGGATTCTACCAGGTGTGACCGAAATTTGCGCCACGTCGGAGCGAGCGTGCGGGTAATAGGGAATGCCGACAAGGGGGTGCGGGCAGGAGAGGGGGAGGTCGCGGGCGAACGCGCAAGCGTGTGTACGTGCGTACTCGTATAGTACACGGGGGTGGGGTGGGGGTGGGGTGGGACACGCGTGCGTGTGAGGGAACGTTCGATCGGAGTCGGAGAGATGTGTTTTTCGCCCCCTTCCATCCCCCCTCGTCCTTCCTCGGGCGGTCGGTAGACGGCCTGGTGAACGCCGAACGTTGCGATTAGAGCATATATCGCGCGTGCGGATGCGTTCGCGAAATCATTTTGGCGGACGGACTACGCTTTTATCGGGGACGTAAGTCCGCATAGCGGAGCGAGAAGTACGGGATGCGGCGTTAATTTTAGACGTCGTTGCGAATAGTCGGGCGCGATCGATGGAAATAGCCGACGAGAGATTCGCGTAATGAGATTCGGGTCGATGCGGATGAGAATCTCGCGGATACGACGGTATCCTCCTTGGAGGGGTACACTTTAACCCTTTAATTTTGCCCATTTCTACCAATGTAGATTATAACTTTAATCTTAGTTTGATTTACTTTTTATCTTCTTCTAATTCTAAGAATTAGAAAAGGATAAAGAGTAAGTTAAACCGAGATTGAAGTTAATCTGCAAGAAAATCTGCTGAAATTGCATTATTTCCAATTATACAGAAATGGATATAAAACTTTTTTATTACTTGGTTAACTTGTGGTTTAGATTTATCCTCGCTTAACGCAATGATAATGAAAACTGTGTTTTTTCAGCTGTGATTATCACTAAACTATAATAGTTTTGTAGTGGTAACCTTACAAATTATTAACTACGAAATCATCAGTTTAGTGATTAACCAGATAGAAAAATACAATTTTATATTATCATCAAGTTAAATCTAAATACGAGTTAATCAGCAAATGAAAAAACCGAACCTAAGTACGATGGATTTTTAATGATACTTTTGAAATTTCCATAGGTATTTTCTTCGAAGAAGCTACGCGATTAAACTTGCGGGTTATCTCCGTGTCTTGACACATCATTAAATGCTAACGTTTCGTAAACATTGCAGGTCACTTCATCAGGACGAGAAGCAACCTGATACAGTATCAAATTGCTCCTCGTCTTGATCCAGTGAACTGCAATATTCACGAAACGTTGGCATTTAATGCTGTATCAGGACATGGGGATAACTCGTAAAACATAACTTCCCCTTTGAAGTACAAGAGAACATATTTATTTTTTCAGAACATATTTAGGAAGATGGAGTCGGATCAGACCCGATGCTCTGTTTTATTTTTCAGCTAATTTATGTACAAAATAGATTTAAAGAAATAATAACATAAATCTTATACTTCGATTTCTTCCTGTGTTTATTTATAGATTTTTTTAGAAAATGCAATGAAGTTTACTAAGGACATGCTTTTCTTTTAAGATATACGTAGTCGACAAGTGTCGCTCAATCTTTTTGTTATTCAATGCAAAAAAGAATAGAATTTGTGTCGACTGAGGTCATCTAGCAAGAAAGTCTAAATTTAAATAACTGCTTGAATTGGAAATTGTATCATTAAGACTCGTCTTGACCGAATATGACTATCTTTATTCATTTGGCAATAATTGAGGGGATGGACGGAATAAAGGTCGAATTACAAAATCTTTATATTAATACAAATTAAAATAACTTGCTACTTTTTTATTATATACAAATGAGTACAATATTAAATAAATTTATGTAATGTCTTTAAGAAGTTATATGTTACAATACTTCTGTATTACGATCAATATTACATGAAAAAGCTAATTGCCGGAAAAAGGGCCTTATAAGTAGAATTATGCCTTTATTCCGCCCATTCCCTCAATTGTAATAAAACAAAACTTTAACGGAACTATGGGGTCACTCCTGATTCCAACCTTATCATTACAAGATTAATACAAGTATGAACCCGGAATACGATCGTCGAACTTCAATTTTGCGGAACGTTCAATGCAGTCGCATGCAATATTTAGATATGCGACTACACGTTATTAGCAACGAACGTGTACATATATACATACGGGTATCATTTGTACGCACGGTGAGATGTGATTATGGTGGTGAATGTAAAAAAAAAAAGGTTTTCAAGATCACTATGCCGGCCAGTTGCGAAACACACGCTGTTCCATTAGCGGATTATTCGGAAGCGGGATGCGGGCTCGTACGAGACGTCGGTATTGCGTGCGCTACGTGGAATAATCCTGCGTAAATGACACATTTATGTATACATGGCAGTTCCATGTAATTCGGACTAATTTTCGCTACAGAAATAAATCGTAGCTGTAATGTGTAACGCTCTCTCATCTCATATTTCCTTCTCACACTAAAAAAAAATGTATATTAAAACAGTATACTAAATTTTAATAAATATTTTTTCAGATATTATTAACTATATTTACTTAATAAAAAAAAATACTTAAATTAAATTAATGATTCTTGTATTAAATAAATATTTATTTAGTAGGGGAGACCGGGGCTGGTTGTCGTATATACGGGGTTGATTGTCAAAATGCTTATAACTCAAACAAGATACGGCAGAAAAATCTCTTTTTTGACTGTAGATAGCTGATATAATATTAATTTGTTGTGTAAAATGATTTGCACCACAAGTATTGTATATATTTATAGTGATTTTTGAGAAAATGAAATCGGTGAGTAAATTTTTATAATCACCTATTTTGTTGTCTGACAAGTCTTTGGCATTATTAATCGTAATATCCCTGTAATCATAGAAAATGACATATCTTAAAAGATCTTTGTTACAATTAAATAATCATTATTCTGACTAAGTTTGTGAATATAATCCCTTTTATTAAAAATGGCTATGTGGGATAGATTGACCAAAATGAGACGAGGTTAGGTAACAATTAATTTTTTAATATCTTTAAAGGACACATTTTCAGAGAATATACTTACAAATATATTATATTTCATATAGATATGTGTTTTTTTATTTTTCATATAGAAACTATGGTACAAAAACAAATTACGTATTTTATGATTAAAATAACTATTTTATTTGTATTAGCACTATAATTACTATTATTTCTCAAAATATAGAACTGATATTAAAATAAAAATTGTGTTTTATATAACAAATATGCTACTGCCAATCCTAAAACGTGTGACAATCAACCCAGAACACGGAGTTGATTGTCATATTTTCGCAACTTCATTTAAAATTAAATAACTTATTTTTATGATATGATGAAAATTCACGAGTAATATTTTTTTTAATACCTAAAGGATGTAGGTATATTGTAACGTATATAATATTTCAAAATCAGGCATCCACTTTTTTCTAAAAATCAATAATCAAAAATTGTGACAATCGGCTCCGGTCTCCCCTACTGTTCAAATAAATATCTATTAGAATTTAATACATTTTTTCAGTGT